AAGAAGGAAATTTAACTGGGACAAACAAGTCCCAGGTACCTGGTACAGACCCTTAGAATAGAACAAGACTATGGTCTGACAGTTACTGAAACTTGACCATTTGTATTAAGAATATTGCCAAATGTTAAATTTCAAAGATAAAGGCTTGAATGAAATAGAGAATTAAGCACCAGGAGGGCTAAGCTAGGCATCTGCTCTTCTAAGGATGGCTTGTCTCAACCTCTAGGCCATTTGGAGAGGTAATGTTGTCCTAAGGCTAAAGCAGAGTCCTCCTAGCTCAAACCCTAATGAGCCAGGTATCTGCACTTCAATGGAAGGCTTACCCCATCTCCAGGCCTGGGAGCTTAGTGCACAGCCCCCATCTCCTGCCTAGGAACCGGGATGTCTGTAGAAATTGTTTGGGCTCAGGCAATTTCCTTTGCTTTGATGCCATTTGTAATCACTAACTGCTAGTTATGCTTTTGTAACTTGCTTCTTTGTCAATTACAAAAATGCCACTGACCATCTGTGAGTAATCCTTCCCTCCCCCCATGGATCTTGCCTTTAAATACCCTGAGCTATTTGACTTCATTGCTAGTCTTCACTGTCTCCATAGTGGAGATCAGACGCCATGGCTGATAAGTGATTCCTAGCCCTATTGACTGACTGTTGGTGATTCCTTTCCCAGATTGTGGGTTCAAATCCCACTGGCCCCAGGAAGCTGAGATATTTCAGAATTCGATTTTGTGTGTTTTCTGGGATTAAAAGTACAATTACCAACACTGTCTAAATAAAACACAAAAATTAAATATAAGACAATTTAATCCAAACTCTTCTTAATATATTTTATTCAGTGAATACTTTTACTTTTTTATTGGTGAGTGCCCTCTGTCTGTCTCTCTCCCTCTCTCTGTCTGTCCCTGTGTTACTGTGGTTTAAACTGGGAGTCTTGAGCTTACTTCATACTGTATCACTTAAGCCATGCTTCTATCCCTTATTTTTACTAGTCATTTTAGAGATGAGATGAGGTATTATGAGCTTTCCTTCCCTGAGGTAGCCTTGAACTTGCATCCTCCTTGGTGCCTAACTTACTGGTAGAACTTTTTTTTTTCTTTTTAATCTTTGTGATCCAGTCAAAATAAATCTTCAGTTCCTGCCTAGCTTTCATAAGGTCCTTCATAAAACCCTATAAATACTTCTACTATATACTTCACACTGTGGTGGGGTATGGGACTACACGGCAAGCAATTTCAGACCTAGGTTTTTGTTTTCCTGGTACATAAAAGACACGTATTGGAGTGCTGCTGATTCAATGAGTGCCTAGATGAAAATCAGAATGAGAAGCAAGAGTAAAAGTTGTTGAGTAATTAAATCATTCATTATCTTGTAAATCTTCATTATCCTGTAGAGGACATATTTTTTTTTAATTTTTGGATAGTCTGGCAAATAAGTGTATTTTGAATACCATATTATATGGCAGAATTAGAAATCTTTTAAATGATTCTTTATGCACACCTGAAACATGTGGAGGCATCATTAACAGTTGTTGATATTAAATCATCCAGGTAACATAAATGAGTTTCTGATTATGAGCTGCTCCTCTGCATAGGTGCATTATTCTTCTAAGCAACTTCACACTATTCTTCACTTTCTTTTCCCCAAATTGCCATTCAAGTTATAAAATATTACTACAATGTCTTGGCTTATTTTTTAAAGACATGTATTAAAAAACAAGCAAAGAAAAACCCCTTAAAACCGCTAAAGGAGAAGGATGACAAGGTGACTGAGTAACGACAGGGAGCAGCCTTACAGAGCTCCAGGCCCTTAGCAAGGCACTCCACCTCAAAGGAGAGACACGAAGCAAACCGTAAGCAGAGATGGACACCAAGAAAGCAAACTCTGGCAAAAGCACCTGTGAGGGAAGATAAACAAGGCAAAAGCACCCCAGCGTGGGCACGCCCTCCTGCAGCAGGACTGCACTATGATCCCAGGTGAAGACATCAACATACCTCCAGCACAGAAGCTGAAGACCTGGACTTGAAAGACACAGGTTCAGGAACACGCAGCCGGGACCACCACAGACAGACACAGAGACTTTATACCGTGGCACTGCTGCTCAGCAATAATCTAACACACCTAGAACCATGAGGACCTCACCTGTGATCCTTCCCTGGCGAGACCAGCACAGGTGAACCTGCAGCAGGTCCTAAAACCTCACTACCATAATCCAGAAAGGCTTCAGAAACCAAACTAATTTTCCAGCCCCATCCATGGCTAGTGGCTCAGCCTCACCCGAGAGCAGAATCCAGGCCCATCCCCTGCTCTTAAGCTCCCGCGCTTCTCCAGGTGGCTTTGTCCAGGTCACTGACAGTGGGGAGAGGGAACTACTGTAGGCCCAGGAGAAAGGTCAGAAGATCTGACCTGCAGCCTGTGGTGAACAAACCGTGTCACAAAATTTCATCAGATTCAAAATTCAATTAAAATGTAAGATTTGTTTTAGGTACCAGTGTGAAAAGGTTACCAGTGTTTAGCAATTATACAATGCCTCCGTTGATAAGAGATTGGTATGCCATTCTCATCTTTGCTTGGATTTCCTTGTTACTCTGAGGAATGTGGTAATTTTGCTGCCCATGTGCATGTTAGATTGTTACATCTTTAATTATTATTGTGAATTCTTGGATATTTATTTCTTAACTAAAGCTTTTTACTTTACAATAAAATGCCCATTTGTAGTTCTTCTAAAGTCTGACTTCATTCCTTATTGCTGTATCCACTTATTTTTTTTCAATACTGGCACGGTAAAATGTTCAGAATATGTGAAATGGCAGTTAGAACTCAATGTGTATTGGACCATAAATTATTAATTTGTTAGAATGCCACTCCTATTAAAGTAATTTGAATAGTTGGGACTAATTTCATATGTAGACATCCTGAAATGAAATTTGCCTTAAATTTGGAAAAGGGTAAAGTGATAATTGCTTTATTTTTGATACCATGCTAAAATACTTTCCCATAATCCTGTCATAGAATATAGATGTTAAGGGCTGATGGCAGCTGTCAGCTTTTGTTGTTGTTGTTGTTTTAAGCTCAAATCCACCCCTTCTTGGCACTTTCCTATTTCAAATACCTGTTATTTGCTGGCTATCTTTCTGCCTCAGGGTTATCTACTCTTACCTGATTTTCTCTTTAGTGCTTGAGAGTTAAAACCCACCTGTACCCCTGAGGTCTGATAAGTGTTCCAAGATTTTGGTCCAGGGTAAAGTCCTTTAAGATGTTCTGCATGCTTCTTTGAAGAACAATGCAGTTGCCAGAGCAGGAACCTTCACATTTAAAGGAACTAATTGACTTACTCAGCTTTAATCTATTTCATAGTTCCCTTCCCAATTCCTGGGGCTAAATCTAAAATAGGCTGTTTGCATTTGAATTTGTGTCCAGGGCTGTGTTTATACAGAAGCTTGGAAGACTGTAAGTTACTATTTGGCCACTATGTGATTATCCTGAGTACATTCTCCAAATTGTTTTTTTCCCTACACTTTCCACGTGGCTGGGATGGTATACCACCTCACCTGAGGTTTGAGGTGTGGGACTTACTAACTGCCTGATTGGCCTTGAGCTATAATCCTCTCTATTTCTGTTTCTGAAGTAGTTGGAATTCAAGGTATATGGCACAATACCTGGTTGTATTTTCTGCCAGTATGTAGACCAATGGCACAAAATAGACACTAAATACATTTATTGAGAACTCAAGTGACATATTTACACCCATGAGTTATAAAGAAAACTGCTGAAAACACTATGACCACCCATTGTATGGCCCTTGGATTCAAAAGCAAAGAAGCAAACAATAACACCAAGCATTTATTCCACAAATAGATATTTCACAGTGAATTTTACTTACCGGAAATGGAACCAACCTCATCCTTATATCACACTTACACTTTACTTTCATGCAATTTTTTTTAAGGAACAAGGCATGTATGAAAAATGGAGATTGCTTGTGTAATGAATTTCAGTCCACAAATATAACAGTATTTTGTATTGTTTATGAAGGTTACAGAGTCCATATCATATACATTAACTCACTAAATCATGACAATAGCTCCATGAGGTAGGTATTATTGAACTTACAGGTAAAGTACCTGAGACTTAGAGGTCAAGTAACATGTCCAAGGAAGCATCGCTATGACAAATCTGGGATTTAGACCCAGGCCCTCTGATATATGTAATTTATTTGTATATTGCATTTAAAAATAAAAAAGAGTCCAACTTACAGTTAACTCATTAAAGGAAAATGAAAAAATAGGCCTTAAACGTGGCCCTCCACTTTTGTCTTAAGCAACTAGGTAATTGACTTCTTGACCTGTAGACCTATAAGTAAATGCTGGTGATTCCTTCATTTTTATAATATAAATTTCAAATCACACCCCTCTAATTTTTTAACCTTTTTCCCCTAAGATATTCAAATTTTGATAAATACAAAGTTTAGGCAAAATTATGTTTACGTGTGTGTGTATTTAAAAAAACAGAATTCTACTCTTGACACTTCCAAGACATGATATCCTTTTCTCATCCATCCAACTAGAATGCTTGAGTGTGCTAGCTTCAGTCCAGATTAGCTATGATAAGAATTCTTAAAACATCCTTTGTGATAAGAAAGCCCAAATAAGTATTTTTGATTTATTTTTCTTATTTCCAGAACTTATGTAGTTTAAACTTTACATATCCAACATATCACAGTTGAGTCTGATTATAGGCTAACTGAAACTCAGTTACTATAAAAAAACAGTATTATGCTTGGATCAAATAGCTAACTTCAAGTTTACATCAACCTACATTTTTAATTTCACATGAATGAAATGAGACATTTGCTTTATAAGTAAAATTGGATGCTCATAAAACCAACAGAGAATTTTTACTCTTTTGGTGATATCGTGGTGAAATGTTAAGACAAAACAATTTTGTGATTAAATGGAATAAATTTGATCAGCACACAATGAAAAAAATCAACACAAGGAAGAATGATGTATTTGAGAACATTTTTAATAAATAATGTGACAAAATTACTTTTCTGATTATTGGATTTTTCAGTATGCAAAATTATGGCTAAAAATAAGAGGCTTCTTACATGAACATAATGAAAACATTAATCACATGGGTTGGTCTTTTAGGACTGCATACCCTTTCTATTGAACTTTTTCAAATTATCTAAATGAACACATCTAGTTTTTGGTGAATACCAGCCTTTTCTTTGTGTTCAGTGTTGTTTGGCTTTGTTTTCCAGTGGGGTCAGGCCTGATACCTGTGTACAAATAAATGTTTCTTTATTTTTCTTTTTTTAATAGCACCAATTATAAAGTCAATGAAAATTTATGTTGACAAAAAAGGAGTCATAAAAATCTACAATCAGAGGGCATCATTTGGCAATTCAAAGCAATGCCTCTAGTTGAGCTTATCAGGAAATCTTGAACATTTCAACATTGGCCACCACAAATTCCAATTTTTTTTTCTTTTAAGTCCAGGAAAAATATGAACCATTTGGTTCCTGGCCCACAATAGAGTCTGCACATTACTTCACCATCAGTCATCATTCAAATATTCCAAATACAAACATAGAGCATTAACAAAAACAGGTTAAAAACGCTTCTCAACATTTTTTTTCAATAAGACAAAAAAGGTTAATAGTTACAATGGTTTACAAATAAAGTTTAGTGATTGTGCTTTTAAAACCAAAAAAAAAAAAAAGCTTAAAAACAGTGCATTACAAAAACAAAAATCAAAGGAACTTCCTTAAGTGGCACTTCTGAAAGTGGAACTGACACTACCAGAAGAAATTTAGGCCAGTTAAGATAGGGATGTCCTTACTTACTTGGTCACTACAAACATTCCTTTGTCTGTTATATGCATTTATAATTGCTTCTTGATTGAAAAATAGAACAAGGTTTTTGCTAGGCTTACTTATGACAATGACTAGACAACCAGAGTTCCAACTGGCTTAGCCCTACTTATCCAAAAGTATATCTCCAGTAAGAATATACTTCAATGATTGAAATGAAGACAAAATAAAGTACCACTAGGAGTTGCAAAGAATATATATTTACAAAGGTTCTACCCCATTCAAATCATTCGTAGTTCTGCATTTGCTATATATATATATATTTCTCCCAGAAAAGGGTGGTAGGAAAGACTGGAATTAATGTCATGTTAAAATGAAGTATGTTTCAATTTGCATTAGCAGTTGGTTATAGAAAGATTATACTTTGAGAGCCCTTGGCATGAGGTTGATTCATCAACTTCGTATCTTTGATCAATATTTTGCTATAAATTAGCTTGGTATATAAGCAGTGCAATGCCATATCTCAGGGGCAAAATGCAAAAGAACTGCTCTGTTCTTTCTTGCTGGCTGATGATTGAAGCAAGAAGTCAAGACACTTCCACTCCTGGAAGTCAATTTCAATGGTCCCAACAGTGAGGAAGAGGGAGGTTCTTCAAAGGAAGGGATCATACAGCAACAATAAAAACCCAATAAAACTTTTTAAAAAATGGTATCCCAATAAGAGGAATAAAAATGACAACTTGTATATTCTGATTGCACTGAACATTTTATCTGGTGTCACGTGTCATCAGACATGAGGCATCTTGAGTGATAATTCACATTAGATCACGTGAGCCTCTCTGGTTGCCTTCAGCTTTCTGTTTCCTGTAAGAAATATATTATTGTTAACCATGAAAATAGACCAAGATAGCATTGTCTCATATTTATTTATGATGCATCTACTCTTATATTGTAATGTGTCTTCTTCAATCATTTGCTTGGCCTATGTTGGAAAATGCTGATGATAATAAATTCACTTGTCTATTCTAGCTCTTCTTAATAGCAAATCCAACCATTCTCTAATAAGTACTACATTGTGTTCTGCACAGTTCCTTAATGTTACAGAGTGAGGCAGACTTAATGTTACAGAAGACACTGAGTAAGAAAAATATCTGGATTCTCTGTTTCCCTTCATCCCAACTTAGGCTATATTTCTGCTTTTAAATTATTTCATTAATGGAATTAATGATGTGACTTCTCACCCACCCAAGGGCTTCTTCTGTTTAAACAGAAAAAGGCAGACTTCAAATCATAACCTTCTTTAATCACGTTTACAAGGACAGAGTTTTTCTTTATAGACCACAAAGTCAAAATACTTAGAAATTTACAAAATATTAAAAGAACTCATTTGTTATGTTTTCATTTTCTATTATAAATTAATAATTTAACACTCATTTGGCATCTACTTGAGATTAAGTATATTTGTAAAACAGAGAATTTATCCTCAGGTTTTTTGTTTTTTATTAAATAGAGAAAATCTAGTAATTTTTAAAAGAGAAAAAGGATTTTATACTACTATTTGACCTCCAGCAGTATCTATGTCATTACTTATAGATTCAATACAAATTTCTCTAGATTTAGGGAGGCCAGCTACATAGCTGAATCATTCATTTTTTTTAGAAGTATGAGGGTTTAGCTAGTTGGTCATAGCAAACAAGTTTAATACCTTTACTTATATCAGAAAACTTTGTTATCTTTTGAGGTTTCATATAACACTATAAATTATACGTTGAGCAACAGTTTGCACTTCCTAATAATGTTTTTGCCCTATACTTTTCTTTTTAGAAAATATGCTAATATGAAGAGTATATCTTCAAAGAGGCCACTATTAACATTTAAAATTCTAAAGTACATTTCAGCAAAAATCCTGTAACTCCCAAAATTTCAGTTTCTAGACATTAGAGTATGAGTATATTGTGTACATTGTGTTAAAATAATAACTTTTATTAATAGATACTCTTAACTTTGAGGCTAATGAAAAGAGACAATGATAGCTACCTCTAATTCTTCATTATTTTCTTCTCTTTCATATCCACCAAGTACTTGCATTTCTGCAATGTTTCTTCGGCCTACATTTGCTTGTTCTCTTTGTCTGTTTCCTGATCCTCTTGAAGACATTGAGCTTGAGGAACTGGGATCTCTGGGATTATTTGAGGTTGGAAAGGTAGGTCTGCAGTAAGGTAGAATATCCTCTGTGTAATAAAACACAATAAGCACATGTAAATACTAACTAGATATACTTATCACATTAACATTCAACTCTTGTTTGTCTAAAATATTGAATAAGGTGTCATCAGTGATTTTTAGAAATAAATGTGGATCCTACAGCAGCATTGTCTGACAAAGATAGCCTTGTTTTCCTAAGGACTGGTTGGGAATTTGGAATGATTTCACCCATAGGCTGTGCTTGACTCAAACTCACTTGGGACCAGTATCACTAAATGTGCAGCCAGACTGGGTTTCCAAACCTATCATTGATCATGTAATCTTAGTAGTTTTGGCCCTAGTTTCCACTCTTCCAAACAAGTGATAATAAAAATCTATACCCAGAGGAACAGCTATTGTTGGTAGGACCCCAGATGAGATAGCAAAATCACTAAATAAACTACAAACTGTTGTTATAAGGAATTAGGAAAAACCAAGGGTAGTCTTTTAGAACTGCAAAATCAGAGCCAAACCTCTATTCCTTCCTTAGTCAATGAATTACCAACCTCCATATAAATGGCACATTTGTACTAAGGTACTGTGAATCTCAGAAGAAGCCTGACACTGTTGTTAACTTAAAAACAAACAAGGCACTCTAGTTAATTGCTCCTCCTGAATTTCTATCTCCATACTATTTTTAATTTACTGCCACTCTTAACTGATGATGCATCATTCAATGCTCATGTTCCTCCACAGCATGTGTACTCTACTCTTTGAACATAAAACACATAAAGATAAAACATCTCTTCTACATGATTTTCCCAGCCCCAGATCCTTCCTGTTCTATCCATGCTGCCTGAATGAAATATTAGTTTCCTTGGTGTTCAGTGATGTTCTCTCCAGGGGAATGAAAGGGAAGGAGAAGGCTTATTTCTAGCACACCAATGAAGGAGGCCAGGTTTGGCCAGAGCCATATTGGCCACATGGTGGATTGTAGGCTCTGGCATCTTATCTTCATGCTGGGGGTGAAAACCGCTTGCCCATCACTTGCCTCCCAGGTGATGGGCATGCTGGGATTCCTGGAGGCAGAGGTGGGCACTTGGCTGCTAGGTTGCTGAAACTGTCAGTCCAGTGCCTGGGACTGGGAATTTTCTGAGTATCTGTTCCCTGCACTGACTGATTTAGGGCCGGACCAGCCTAGCTGCCAGGACACCATGCCACGTGTGTCCTGTCCCCTGGCTCATCCCCAGTCATCATGACTCTCTCTTGGAGAGCTGAATTGGCTTGTTGGTATTGTTTTTGTTATTTCTTTCCTCTTTAGCATATTTCCTAGCTGTGTGATGTGTATTTGCATGGTGCAGGCCTTTGAAACAACTGACTGCCTGCAGCCTGTTAACTGTATAATAGACTCCAATATTTTATATTTCAAAATGTGGCTTCTGGGATGATTCACCTTATGACACCAATACCAGGTTCTTTTTGTTGTTGTTTGTTTTTTGTTTTTTGTCTGTCTTAGGGCTTGAACTCTAGGCCTGGGCACTGTCCCTGAACTCTTCAGCTCAAGGCGAGCATCCACCACTTGAGCCACAGCATCACTTCTGGTTTTCTGGTGGTTAATTGGAGATAGAATCTCAGGGACTTTCCTGCCCGGGCTGGCTTTGAACTGAGATTCTCAAATCCCAACCTCCTCAGAGGTGTGAGTCACCAGTGCGTGGCTACCAAGACCAGTTTTAAATCATTGTTCCTTTATCCTTGCTCACCAATGTTCTGTTCCTAAAAGCCTGAGTCATCTGCTTATGAAGCTTAGGTAGCTCTATAAAATCTTACTCCTTCCATTCTGTTCATTACAACTTACCCTTGATCCATAGGAAGACTCAAGGGAGTATCTCACAGCAAGTGAGGTTGACTGCTTGGTCAACCTCTCTTTTACAGAATTTGGTCTCCTGTGATCTGCTCTGTCCCTGCTTTATAAACTTGTTTCTTTCTATTGACTTCTATTGTGTCAAGTTACAGTATGTTAAAAGCTCTCTTGGCTAAAAACTGCCTTAAGCAAGTTCTGTACAAGAATCAATACTTTGTTGTCTCTTCCTTGCTGACCTTCTTAAAAAAAGCAATTTGGAAGTTACAATATTGGAAGCTGGAGCTCCCTTTTCACTCTAGGTCCCACCAAAATCTATTTATGCCACTTTACTAGTGCAATACTAAGAAAATTGATAATGCTAATCCAGTTTTAGTGCCTATATCTCTTTAGTTCTCACTGCTCTTACTCAATTTAAACATTACTATTCCCCTAGCTTCTCATATCCCTTTCTTCTTGATCAATCTTCTGAGAATTCTTTTACATGCAAATGCTCTACAGTCTTCTCTCCCCCCATATACATACATATATATATATATATATATGTATGTCTATGCCTAAGGAAAGAGTATATATAATGTATATACGCACACACACACATATTCCTCAGCTCATCCTTGTTGTTTTCAACCAATCTTATTTGTTATAAAGTTTTCTACAACATAATTGCCATGAGTAGTAATTTTTGTCTTTTTTATATGTGTCTATACTCCCAGCTGACCGTATAAAAGGTCAATACATAGCTTTGAGTGAAAGTGTTCACTGTTTTTTTCACCATGATAGAACATTTGTGTATATTTTCACTCCCAAATTATGTCTTGACTCTATATAGCTAGCCCAACTGAACACATCCCTATATTTCTTCCTCCTTTCAATTTTCTAATACATCTAGTACTGTCATTAATTATAAAGACATACAAAATAGGAATCTGTAATTATTTTTAGATTTGTCCCTCTCAGTATTTTTCCTGTACCCCTTAAATACAAATGAGGCTGATTTTGACTCTTGAAAGTTTGTTGAGTTTTTCTTAGGAAGCCACTACTGCTTGTACATGCCACTTTACATTCCCAATCTTGTCAGGAATCATACACATCTTTTTTTTGTTTTGTCAGTCATAGGGCTTGAACGCTGGGCCTAGGTGCTGTCACTGAGCTTGGCCCCAGCACCACTTCTGGTTTTCTGGTGGTTTATTGGAGATAAGAGTCTCAGGGACTTTCCTGCCTGGGCTGGCTTTGAACTGTGATCCTCAGATCTCAGCCTCCTGAGTAGCTAGTATTACAGGCATGAGCCAATGGCACCTGGCCATATACATCTTTTAACATCACACGGCCTCTTGAGCTCTTTCTCTTTGAACTGACTTGATTCAGAGGCCTCATCTTACATGACTTGTGGGATTTTCATGACTCAGCCCTTTATTTCATCCAAGGGCTTCATCACTCCATCTTATAATACTAAAGACCATATTGCTAGGTAACACTAGAAATCCCAGAATTCTTATATTCTCCTCAATAGACCTTTAGGCTTTTTATATTGACTTTCCTTCTAAGCCATGTACATTCCTTGCCTAAGTCACCTCTCAGTTTTTGGGTAATTTCAGCCAGGAAAGATCAAAGGCTATTTCCTAACATTGCATCTCCCAGAACACTGGATGAGCTGTCACTATTCTGGTCTCTCATGTATCAGCACATGGAAGTTACACAGAATATAGAGCTATGTGCATTTTGCTCGTTCATAAGGATATCATTACTGCTGCAATCTGTGTTGGGTGAAGGGCTCAGTGGTGGGTAACGCTAGCTCTGGAAAGACTGCAGAAATTATAAACAAATCCATATAAATAACAGTGACTTTATAGATCCCCCTCCATCCTTCTCTCTCAAGTTTCATTAGGTCACAGAAATCGCAGAATTTATTACAATGCTTAATAACACAGTAAGTGTTTGATAGATGTAGAGATAAATTGAAATAGCTCAGGTAAATGTCAGCAAAAAGATCAGATATGCACGTCTGGAAGACCACTTTCCTTAATTACAAACAATCATTCATTACACATGTAAATCAGGGTGCTGCTTTCATTAAATAAGTAATGTAAATGGAATCATGAATTTGGAAATTATAGTAATTCATAGAAATGATCATTTAATGACATATCCAAACAGAGCCAAGGTTCAAATAAAAAACTGGAAATGAAGGGTGCATAACATAATAGTGAGTCTAGGTATCTCTCTATATGTATCTTATGGAACAGCTCTCTCATTTTTAGATTCATAATTCTATTTTTTTGTCAGTCGTGGGGCTTGAACTCTGGGCTTGGGCACTGTCCCTGTGCTCTTCAGCTCAAGGCGAGTGCTCTACTGCTTGAGCTACAGCACTACTTCCAGTTTTCTAGTGGTTTATTGGAGAATAAGAGTCTCACGGACTTTCCTGCCTGGGCTGGCTTTGAACCAGGATCTTCAGATTTCTGCCTCTTGAGTAGATAGGATTACAGGCATCAGCCACCAGTACCCAGCAGATTCATAATTCTAGTCTTGGTTCTGTAGTTAGTTTCGGGTACAAATAACTTTAAATTTCTAAAGATTAATTTACTTCTTTTTTTCCCTCTTTGTTCTAATTCTGCTATTCAAGAATCTGTCCAGATTTGTAGTTTTCTTCTGAAGAATCTTACCTAGTTTGGAGAAAGTTTACTTATAAGCACAAAATTGATCTGTCATTCTGATTAAATGTAATGCTCATAATTTACATCATTTCATTCCAGGTACAAATCATTACTTGAAATGTAGACACTATGAACCAAAAGCTCAGTCAAAAAAATCAACTTTAAATTATCATAGATACAAGCAAATAAGTATTTCAAGCTTTATTGTGTTGCCCTTACTAATGACTGTATCTGAAGGGTAAAACGGCACCCATAACTTTACAGAGGAACTCATGTATCAATAAGGAGTTCAAGCAGACTTAATTACTAGAACAAAGTGGAACAACCTTTCATATTGAAAGGAGGTTAGCTAATGAGCAGCAGAACAACAGACCAATGACATGTCTGAGTAAAACAGTATTTCAATACAGTAAAATACTCCATCACTCCTCCATCTATCACATTCCTTTTGCGTTAACTCTTTCACCAAAATGGTTTCTTCCCTAATCTAGAATAACATTCAAATCTCCGTCTAAGCATTTGTGCTCATTTGATCCCTTTGTCTGCATTCCAACTGTTTGTTTTCTGAACTCCTGAGTGAATTTTTTTCTTATCACTTCTTTTCAAAATTTCAACTCATTTTTCAATATTCTAGAGTCTGGAGATCAAACTTCAATCCTCTCTAGGCAAGTGCTCTACTACAGAGCCTCAAATGCAGCTAGAGGATACTATATTTAATAGTGTAAATATCCTGCTCATAGTGTCTCCAACCTGGACAGTCTCCATTCCTCTTACAGAATGTGGATTCTTTACCTACCTTCTGGATATAAACATCCCTGATATTGGGTGACAGGTATGTTGTAACATCTCAAGCATCAAGGCTTACTGCATTCATGTCTTTCTACATCTTCATTTATTGACTTCATTGTTAGCAGAGATTAGGCTTTTGGTGATTATTCACAGGACAGAAGTAGCAAGTGGCTACAAATTGTAACTTTTTTCCCCCCTTCCAGAGCACTGATGACTAAATATTTACTAACTCATAGTTAATCTTGTGTCATTCACAACTTCAATACCTCCAGGTGGCTGGTTCCTGAATCTCTTCTCCACTGCCAACCTTCCTTCTGATTTTTACACTTATTTCACTAAAGTTATTGGCTTGGTTCATGTCTATGTTCTTGTCAGCAACTCTTAGTCAAATCAAAAATAAAATTATTTTCCCTATGAGATTTACCCTTTCCTGTTTTTATTCTACCTCGGTTGGTACATACAGGGCCACCTATTCAACACTTGAATAAACTTCTAAAATGTATTGCTTCAATCTACCTTTTCACATGTTATTAGTCATAGGATCTGTGTCAAAGTGTTTATGTGGTATGTTTTTTCCTTTCACTCTAATTCAATCCGCTACTTTTGTATTTTATAACTACATTATGATTGCAATTGTCCATCTGATTCAAGCTTCTTCCTCTACTGCAAGTACTAGCAAGCTATTTTTTTCTTTTTTTTGGGGGGGTGTCCGGTCATGGGACCTGAATTCTGGGCCTGGGCGCTGTCCCTTTGTTCTTCAGCTCAAGGCTAGCGCTCTACCACTTAAACCACAGTGTCACTTCCGGCTTTTTTCTTTTTTGCTTATGTGGTGCTGAGGAATCGAACCTAGGACCTCATGCATGCAAGTCAAGGCTCTACCACTGAGCCACCTTCCCAACCCAAACTCTATTTTTTTCTAAAGCACACATCAATTTATCTCACTCAGTTCTTTACTGGACCACCTGCTTATAATTTAAATGCCAGTCTCTTTCTAATCCAATCACATTTCTGGGTTTGCTTTAACCATTCATCCCTAGCTTCAAAACATCATTTTTTCCATCAATACTGGAAACTAATGTTCAAACTTTATTTTTATACATTCATGTCTTTTTCTTCTTTTTAAAAAAAATACTGTAAAGGTGACTTACAGTTACATGATTCAGGTAATGAAAATACTTCCTTTTGAACACTGTCACCCATCCCTCATTCTCTCCATTTTCCCCTCCTGACTTACCTTCCTCTACCCCCAAGCTACACAGTTTATTTCTAGCATAGTGTCTAGTAGGTTTCACTGCTGAACTGGTTCACCCTTTGTCCCACCTTGTCTGTGCTTCCCCTCCCCCTTCCCAAATCAGATAAACTTATATATAAGACAAAAGGTACAGAAATTTAAAACAGAGGTTATAAACCAAAGAAAAAGGGAAAGAAGGAAAGAAAAGAAAAAGAATTGAAAGTGTAATAAAAAATGTTTTACTTCCATTTCTTGGTTTAATTTCCATAACCGTCATTTTATCTGATCTTATACACAGAGCTATTGCACCTTTGTGATCCTCTCCTAAGAATATCCTCGTTTGGTCTCACTGTGTGAATGTCTAGACTCCGGTAGAATTTATCATATTCAAATTCATTTCTTTTTCCTCTTTTAACTGATATGCCTTTCTCCCTGTTTAATCTGTTAAAATCATGTTTTGTTTTATAATCTAACCTAGGTGGTACCACTTGAGAGATGCCTTGTAGCATGTCATGTAGTAAAAATAAGTGTATTACAACTTACATGGAGATATGCCTTTCTCCATTATTACAAAGCATAATTCTTGATCTTACCATTTGCAAGACCTGTGTGCCTTGCAAACATATGTTAATTTACTGCAACTTGCTGCTTGGGTAATACAGTACCTTGGATGAGATGAGTCTTTGCTGGTGGAAGGTCTCGTTTTATGGCCTTGTTTCCTCGTCCTTTCCCATCATTTTGCTGCTCCTGTGCTTCTCTCAGGTCACCTGGATTTGTTCGCAAATCGGCAACTTGTCTTCCATCCAGTAGTTCTCTCCCCTTGTAACTGCCTCCTTTTCTATCTGATGATCTGTCTGTTCTTGCTTCTATGGAAGGGAGTTTTGGCACCATGACAGGTCGTACCTCCAGCTGTGCCTTGGATTGGACAGTGGGTGATTTTATAGCAGGTGGTGGCACTGGAGGAGGTGGAAGATCTAAAAAAAATATTAGGGGTGTGTAAGTTTGTCATGTATAAAATCATCAAGTATTAGAAATATTGTTGGAGATACATAGAACTATGTCATGCAGTATCTTAACTAAAGTAGAGCAACTGAAGCAACCAAGTAAGAAGACAAAGAATTTCACCATACTTGTCATCTAGCACAGAACTTCTAAATGACAGAGTTGAAACAGATGATATACACAAGGGCTAGCTTATATCAGGCACTTGTACAGCAATCTGCAATACTTCATGCATGGCAGTGTATCCTAATTTTTTATCCTAATTCCTTCAACTGTATACATTTTCTTACATCATTAGATAGTTGCTTCAAATAGACATTAATACTTGTGTTGAGACTAGTTAGCCATCATTGATCTAGTCTAAATACTTTTTTCTTTTGTAGGGAAGAAAGCTGGCTTCATAGAGATTTCAACTTAGAGTCTCAAAGTTAGCTACCAACCGATACAGAACTAATGTATGATTATTGTTTTCTAGACTACTTCATTTAATCACATCCTTACAATCTATAACTGACTAATTGATTAATTACATTATTTTTAAAGAATTGTACAAAGGAGGTTCAGTTCATCATATCAGTGTCAGAGATTAAGCTTGATCTACCACTTATTGATAGAATTTCTCCATTCTTTACATCGTGTACCCAGAGGTTTTAATCCAGACAACCACTGATATAAAAAAAGGTTTCTAAAATTTCATATATACATACATTTATATTATTTGTAATAAAACATGTCAATTTAATTTCTCATAGAAGTACTGCAGGATGAGAATAGGTATAACATCTAATATCTAGAGCACCTATTCTCTTCAAACAGTACTGTCTTTCAAAAATCACTCTGAGTTGTAACTCAGAGAAGAGAGTTACATCTTAAAAATATTTAGCAAATTAGAAGAATATGGGCAGTTTTCCAGAATTAAATATTCTGACTACAGTGTAGAGGATGGTTTAATAAATGAGGATTCACAACAGAAATCCACTATAAAAAGTGATCAAAATTTTACTTGCCTGCTTATTTTGTATTTATTTATTCATTTATTCATGAACTTATTTATAGAAGACCAGTACTTATTTATAGAAGGTTCTGGCCTCTATTCAGGGCCTTGAGCTTCCTAGGAAGGCAAGCTTCTACTTGAGCTATATGCCTCAGAACTTACACGCATGTTTCTGTTGTTAAATTTGATAGGTTAAAACACTATAGTATTACACACATATACTCAATGCATTTGTTCGTACAGTGGTCAAAGCACAGCCAAGAGAGCAGTCTCCTTGATTTGATTCTAAACTACAAATATCCTATCTAGCAACAGACACTGCATTGGCTCTAGTACATGAACTTCCTCCTCCATCCATCACTTCAATAGACTTTTGAAAAATAATATTAAAAAATAAGTACTTAGGATGAAAAGTCATCATTTATCTGTTACAAGTTGATTAAAATTTACTAGAAAGAGTTAGGATAGACATTAAAGAGTGGCCTAAATCTAAAAGAAGAAGCATGGTCCTAAGTTCAGAGCGAAGCTGAGGATGACAATAGAGGATGAGAAATACTTGAGAGTGTGCCTGGAAGGAGAGAGGGAGTGAGAGCATGTGGGCTCATTCCTGCATGGCCAGCTTGCTACTAACATGGACAGACTGTAAACACAGGTCACCAGAAAGCTGAGGGCTATCAGTACCATTGATTGCCAAAATATCTGGGCTTATCAGTTATCAAAGTGGATGACTACTACTATCACAAATTCAGTTAGTCTTGGGAACATTTACCTCTGGAGACCAAAATCTATTAACAAATATTCCCTACAGATGATGTCTACAACGCAGGCAGAAAAGAGATCTCAAAAGTAATTATAAAAATTATAAATTCTCGCACATAAATGTCATTGCATGTAATTGACAATTAGAAAGAAACATTAGCAGGTTTGATTTCTTCTAGAAGCAAACTAACAAGTAATTCTTTTTAGGTTCTGTAGAAGGATTATTAAGTAAAACCAGAGAATACTATGAAATAAACAATTTTCTATTTCACTTAGTGATAAATAGGACTTACACCCAATTAATGATATAAACAGTTCAAATTGGATTCTATGTCTGTCTGTCTACCTACCTCTGTAAAAATATGTACTCCTTTTAGTATATTCATCCTAACACCCATTACTTTTACAAGACTTTTCAAATGAAAAACTATACTGCATATAAATAATAAGAACATGTATACCCAGACGATCCTGTGATCATAGTATTAACTCACCCTAAAAATCCAGCACTCTATTTACTTAACTGTTTAAAGTCCCAAGACCTTGTAATTAATCATAAATCAAGTCAAAATAACATCATTCCTAAGAGAGTGGTGAATTTATAATTTATGAAAAGTAGGGCTGGAGAAATAACATAGATTTGATTTTTAAATCAAATATGCAAATGTATTGGAAATGTTCATAAGAGGGGGAGGGAAGAATCTATTAGAAGGTCCTAGAAATGCACTTGAGTTTTGCTTTAACTCGGCAAGACTTCATCTGATAAATATTAATATAAATAACCCTATCCTCCATCTGGGTTAAACATCAAAGTGGCAAATAGGAAATAAATAAATAATTAGATCTTGCATGTTAGTGTGATGCAAGCCTATAATCACTTTGCTTCACATAAACTACTCCCAGAGTGTTCACGAAGCTCTGTTTACAGACAAGCTATGGCCACAATACCATGCATTAAGAAAGGAGGGCAAATGGAGATGTTCTAACCTTTTCTTCCTCAAAGACTGACTGTACTTACAGTATTTTGAGAGGTAATTAAATAAAAATGTGCTTCCTAGGATGAGCTCTAATAAATGAGAGCTTAGTAATCCCAACTACTCAGAAGGCCAATATCTGAAGACACAGGTTTGAAGGCCAGCCTGAGAAGATAAATCTGAGGGACTCTACTCTCCAATTAGCAAAAACCTGAAAATGGAGGTATGGCTCAAGTGGTAGAGTATGATGTTGTGAGATCAAATCCCACCAACAGCACACAAAAAAACAATCCAAGAGATTAAGACATAAACAACAGGACTATGCACGGAGGGAAGGGAAAACTATGTACTGAGACAAGGGAAAATGACCCTCATTAACACAAAGAGAGAGACCTCAGAAGAAAACAACCCTGCCGAAACATGACCTTCAGGATTTTTTTTTAATTTAATTTATTTGTGAACATACTGTACAGAGGGGTTACAATTACATGGGCAGGATAATGCGTACATTTCTTACCAAGCATTGCAGCCTCCTCCTTTGGTTTACCCTTCACATCCCTTCACATCCCTTGACCTTCAGGATTTTTGGACCCAGAACTTTGAGGAAATATATTTCTGTTGTTTATGACACTTAGTGATAGTTTGTCACGACAGCTCTATTGACTAACAGGCTTCCTCAGAAGAATCACCACAAGTCACTCTAAATCAGTTCAGATATAGCTACTTGCTATTGCTTATTTTTCTTTGTATACATTTTGAACAACTATCAGAGAAATTTTATATCTGAATAAAATTTACAAAGGAAAGATGTTCCAGTCTCAGAATGATATACCATATTCTGGACATAGTTCATAATCAGATATCATCTATCATAAACAATATGATGAAAGCAAATGGAGAAAGGGGAGATAAAGGGATGGAAGGAAAGAGGGGGAAAGGGAGAAAGAGATTTTTACTGCAATAATTTGATAAAAATAATTTTGGAGAACTTTACTTTTGACTTTATATGGTAATCATTGCTATCAAGATTGAATATATTTTGCCCAATGCCAGTGTAATATTGGCTACTTGAGAGATGGAGGTAGGAAGAATTATAGTTCAAGGCTAGCCAAGGTTAAAAAAAAATCCGCAAGACCACCTCTCAACCAATAGCTGGGCATGGTAGTAGACACCTATCTTTCTACCTACTCAGGAGGCTGAGATCAGGAGGATTGAAGTTCAGCCAATTGAAAGCTAAAAAGTTTTCTAGCTATCATTTCAACAGAAAAAGCTAAGTTATGGTGGATGTGCTTGTTCTCTCAGCAAACAGAACAAATGGGGGGACCAAGGTCCAGGCTGACTTGGACAAAAACTGCAATCCTATCTCAAAAGTAACTAGAGCAAAACAAAAGAGAACAGAGGTAGGGCTCAATTAGTAGAGTACCTGCCTACTAAGCACAAGGCCCTGAATTCAGACCCCAGTGCTAAAAAACAAAACAACAAAAAACAACTGTATGCTCATTTTTGCCTACTCAGTTTCAGAGAGATTACATTTTATGCATAAGGCCCTGGGTTTGATCTCAGACCACCAAAAAAAGAAAATAAAAAGAAAGAAAAGAAAATGAGTATATGCAGTTTTAAATCTGTGTATTAAGAAGTATCTCCATTTGTCCTATTCCAAATAATGGATATATACTGTCAGATTGTACAAAATAACACATAGTATTGCTAATTTTTCTTTTATGAAACAGTAATCATTCAGAATTACATATAAGCAATATTAGTATAATAAAACTTAAAATGGATGATGATCAAAATGTTCAAGGGAAGTTAGAGCCATAATTTAAAAATAGCTTTCATCATTTCTTCATTGCATCTACTTCTGTGAGTTAGAACAAATGATTCTGAGCTTCTGTATTGCAGTATTCACTGGTAATTTTCCATAATCACTTTTATGAAATGAGCAATGTGAAATCCAAATCATATGTCATATTAACTTTTTGGCTTTACAAATGTTTCAACACTATTCTTTCATATTCCTGAAACTAAATAAGAAATAACTGTGGTGTTTCATTATTCAATGTAAATAGTTTTTTTTAATTCAGGGATTAGTTTAAAATGCATATTTATTAAAGATATAAAACAAGTATGCAGAATGCAGGACAACAACTACAGATAACATTTTCCAAGTATAGTGTAATTTTAAAAAACTGTGATGCTCCATTCTTTATCTTGGCATGTTTACATTATTTAAAACATTTTTTAGAAGGCATCAGTCAGTGCCAAACTCCCTCCAAACACATATAAATAAGTGGTGAAAAGATCTACACACAGCCTTATGCCAGATTTTCTCTTATGTACTCAATTTAGATGTGTTTACATCCAGGCTTGAGGTTTGGCCAGTTTTCTAGTTTAGAAGCACTTTCTCCTAGATAATAAAAGTAGATAAAAACAGCAATAGAACTTGTAAAATGCCATTACAGAGGTCCTGTAATGTAAAATTGCTGGTAGAGTTTGGGGATTTACACCTTGTGTTTGTCCCTTCACTGAGGCAGACATGCACAAAAACATGAATAATCCTTCAAAATCAGATAATATGCTGACAGCTCAGTTTCACTGACAAAAGAGTCCTGGGCAGAAGCCAGGAAGCCCAGGTGCGCTGTGTCATGCCCGTATTTAATGTAGTCTAATATCAGATAGATGCTAGGGAGAGAAACTACTCAGAATAAAGTACAGATAATAGCGTGGAAAGCCACTCGTTGCAAAATTACTTGTGCTCATCATGCTGGAAGCTTTGTATTAAATTTTTCTGCCAAGTGGCAGGAATCACCAGGGGAAGTACCTCAGCAAACCCACCTTGGAATCTTGGATAAGGATCTATAATATTAGGCTTTCATATGATAATGGCAAATGATGCCCTTTTTGAAAAATTGCTGACTGGTAATGAAAGTCGTAATCAGATGGTGGCTGCAGAAGACAAGGAGGTAGGGAAAGTCTTTCTGTGACACCCTTCTCACCGCCTCTCTGCCCCTTTAGCAAATTTAGAAAACTTGACAAGAGGGGTGAGTCGGAGAAAATTTATCTTACATGAATTTCCAACAAAGCCCCGTGGGGTTGTTTTATAAAATGAGAAGGTGGCGGTTTAATAAATGCTGGGCCACCTGAGGCACTTTCATTAAAGGCTTTCTCTAGACAACATCACTATGTTTGCATTATCCTCCCACGCTCCCTGGAGACGGTAAGAGGTCCCTCTTCAGTGAGAGTCGATATTGTATGTGAAGGCATGAAGGAAGATGATTCGATTTGCCTGTTGGTGCACAAAATATCTGTAATACCACTACGGGCAGAAATATTGAAGCATGTTTCTTGTCTGTTTCACTATTAAAAGAAAAAGGAAAGAGAGAGAGAGACACTTTGGAGGGTTTATCAGTGAATCTGACAAATGTTAATGGTATGCCATGACTCTACTGTTAAGCCTATTTGAAATTGGAAAATAAAGAATACTAAAGGTATATATTGTTTTAGTTTCTGAAATAACTGGCTTATGTGAACACAAGGACTACAGAGGCTTGGCAGCATCTGGAAGGCGATTATTCCTGTAAGGAATAGGAAGCTGTTAGCGAATTTTTCATGTAATTTCTAATGGCAGTGAACACATTCACTGAAGTACTTATAGCCAGACAGGGAAAATATGGGAGATGCATAGATGTTTCAAACCACATCCATGGACGTACCGTCTGTGTAGGTTTCTCGACGCAGGTGTCCGGGCTGGTGTTTTTGCTTCTTGGTGGGTCTGGCTTTGTGCATGACAGCAGCACTCATGTTGCTGTCTGTAGACACAGGACTTGTGGGCCTAGGACACTGAGATGCGTGAAGATGCCGGCGGCCTAGGAAAAAGAGCAGAGCCAGACCATGGATGAATTGTAATGATCAAAGAAGCAGCAAAATCAAAGCTTTAAAGCTAAAGATATTCCCAGATTTTAAAACTACTTAACACTTAGCAACAGTAGGCTTTCCTCACCTAAAACATCCTAAAATTATTTTCACTCTTTTTTGACCATAGAACTTTTATTCTGTTAAGGTTCATGACACATGTTTATTGAAGAAAAAACATTTCAGTTGGTTGTGCAACTCCACTCACTAAAATGTTATTCTTGAGTGAAGTGTACTAACTTTTTGTATAATATTACTCAATGTTTGTTGTTTTCTCCAAAGGAAGAGTCAGAGTCCTTAAAAAATTCATGCTTCAAAAACAAACAGGCCTAATTACCTCTCCATTTCCACTAAGAAAATGTCTATGGTATTCTTTGAAAGCAAAATCCTACTGTCTTTAGATTTCCAATTGTTTTCTTTTTAAGTAGCCTGAAATTAACCTAGCTTCTATGTTGATATCTTCAAAAATTATATATAAATATGTGTTCCTTGTCTTCAAGAGACTTGCTGATTTGGATTACTTAAGAGTGGTCCCTTTAAGGTTTCTAGGTTTTTGGCAGTAATGGAGGTAATATCTAGATTTGTTTCTGTTTTTTAAAGATAAAATATTCAGAAGTACCAGTGGGAACTAAATTAAATAACTGGAGTTGATGCATTTCAGTGCTTTCCAATTTCCTGGGTCTCATACATCGATGATATATTACAACAGATATGACACATTATAAAATATAAGTATATTATATATATTATAAAATAAGAGTGGAGAGCTCTTGGCTCTGTGTTTACCTTCCCTATTTCAATTTCTAGATATTTTAGTCACCAATCCATCACTTTCTATCTTTTCACAAAACCTTAAACAGACAGCATGTCTTTTGGCTTATCAACAGGAACATGAAATTCTATGTATAGTGAAAGGAAAGCATTTAGAAATGATAACCAAACCATATAAACTAATACACATTAATATAGTCAAGAAGAAGCAATGTGAATAGATTATTCATTCATATTAACTTCAAGTCACATGAGAAACACCACCCTTTCCTGAAAGAAATGTTGTTTAAGGCCAAGGTGCAAATATGTTTACTTCATTATAATTATGAGCCAAAGGAAAGCCAGACGTGCTCCTATATCATAATAAAATATTAAACCAAATTCTCTTTAGCTATGATGGGAGACTATTACAATTAAAGCTACATATCCATGAAAACAGAGAATTAGGACTGAGATGAGCCCATTATTTATTCCATTGTGTAAAGCCATTCACTGATTATAGACCCCCAGGGCATGAGGTCCTTTACAGATAAATTTTCAACATTATTTCTGTATTTCTTGATTTAATGAACTAAAACACATCTTTAATACAATCTGAAAATAGTAGTTTGAGATGTTTAACCTCATATAATCTTTTTTAAACAGAGGACTAAAAAATAAGAAAAAAAGTTATATGTAAAGTTATTTATTAAAAAGGATAAGGTTTGCATATTTTATATTTAGCAGCTTCTAATGAAAAAATGAATGTCTAGTTGTATTTTAAAAATATAGGCCTGCCTGGATGAAATATAAACTCTATAATAGTAATTTGAGGAGTATTAGATATATTTTATGTCATGTATTTTGATAAATAATTTTTAGAGATCACTCTAGGTTATTAAAAACTTTTTCCTTTGAATATATTCTGTGCTGATAGAAATTTATGAGCAATAAAATAAATAAAGCAAAGAAAATGGACAATGTAACAATTATGAAACTTTAAAATATAAAACAACAGCCAGGCACTAGTGGCTCACAACTGTATACCTAGCTACTCAGGAGGTTGAAATCTGAGTATCATGGTTGAAAGCAAATCAGGAATGAAAGCCTGTGAAACTCTTACTTCAAATTAACTACTAAAAAGGCCAGAGTGATGTTGTGGTTTAAGTGGTAGAGCACTAGCCTTGGGCTAAGCCCTCAGTTGAAATAGCAGGGCCAGCAAAAATTAAAAATAAAATAAATCCAACAACAACAACAACAACAAAACATCCATTATTGAATTATGGTGATGGTCTCTATTTTTCTGAAGTGTATTTATTTCTTTCCGGTTATAATCCTTTGCTCTATTACTTACATTTTCTTGGCAACCAGAAATATGCTTACACACACACACACACACACACACACACACACACAAACACACCATATACAGTCATTTGCATTTATACATATGCACATATATGTTCATCCTAAAAAAATAAATGTCATATGATAAAAATAAGCTTGGGATTTAAATTATTTTCTTTCTTTTTTTTTTTGGGGTCCTGTCATGGGGCCTGAACTCTGGGCCTGGGCGCTGTCCCTCAGCTCTTCAGCTCAAGGCTAGCCCTCTACCACTTGAGCCACAGCTCCACTTCCGGCTTATGTGGTGCTGAGGAATCGAACCCAGGGCCTCATGCATGCAAGGCAAGCACTCCACCACTGAACCACCTTCCCATCCCTATTTTCTTTCTTATACTATTTATTTCCTAACCAGGATGGGGAGGAAGAAATAAGTCAAAATGAGATAAAACACAAGAAATGAAGGTTGAGCATATGGCTCAACTGGTTAGCACCTTCCTAACTAGCTGCTACATCCTAAGTTCAAACCCTGTTCCTCTACAACCAACAAATCCAAACCAAAATAATCCACATAAGAAAAGATAAACATTCACTTTAAAAAGGGTACTTTCAATGAAAAATAGAAATAAAAAAGCATAACCTAAAATTCAGATAAGCAAGGGTAAAGTACAATGGGAGGGGTGAGAACGTTGAAAGGGGTGATAATGATCATGATGCACTGTATTCATACACTGCTTCAGTGAATGCCAACTCCTTTGTATAGCTATTCAAATATTAAAAAAATAAAAAAAAGAAAACCATTAACAAAAGTAAAAAAATTACCATATATATTTACTCTTAACTCTCCTAACTATTAAGTTAAACATTGAAAAAAAACCTTGAAAATATACACATCATACAAACATTTCTCTATCTTCCTTCTCAAAGTAGTATTGGAAGGACATGGAAAGAACATCTGTAGAGACATAGGAGCCAATGCCCAGTTCCCATGGCTGACCATCCTACCTGTATATTTTGCTACTTGTTCCTACAGAAGTTCAAATTAAATGGAAGTATCACAATAAATTTGACCACGGGCAGTTCCTACATTAAAATGATGCTCACCATATACACTCATTAGAACAAACTTCACTTTATTGAATACATTGATGTTTTAAAGAAATTGTTATCAATTTGTGTAAAAATGCATATATATGGGCATACACTTGTGTGAATATTTGCTATACCTATGTTTAAAAAAATGAGGATATTCCAGATAGCTTTCTACCACTCTTAGGACACAGGATTTATTAAATAATCATAAAAGTCGACACATCTTGTCACGAATAAAATGTAGGTCATACAACTTAGCCAAATCCTTGGGCTTTGGTGCTTTAGGCAGTAATGGAATTTCACATGGGCCCTAGGATCATAGGAAACAACCAGTCGCTAACGAAGTGACAGTAATGTCTTACCGCCTTGGTGAAGGGTGCCTGACTTACCAGCAGCATCCTGCATTTGACGCCGTGCCACTTTCAGACCAGCATACTCTGCAGCTGCTGCAACAGCCTGGGCGAAATCAGCATCGGTGAAAAAGGAGCCATCAGAAGAACTAACACTGGAGCGCCCACTGGAAATGTTGTCCTCCTCTGAGGCTGAGCCCCAGCCATTGATCATAGACCCAGTGACAGAGCTTTCCAGGTCGCCCACACTTGAGGCTGGGGTCTGCTCCAGCCCACGCAATAAAAGCCTTCTAGTTTGCATTTTGGCAACTTCCATGTCGGCTTCATCTTCCTCCTCCTCTGGTGCATCCGTATCCATGTCTGAGACCAGGGGTCCAGAGATGTAGCCATAGGTATGTGGTGGGGAAATTGGTCTTGGTGGTGGAGGAGGGCTCACTGGCTGTCTTCTGCATGAAGATAAATTTTGGTTCAGCTCAATTCATCACTTAAGACACGAGACAATAAGTGGAGTTCACAAGTACACAGGTATGATCTTAGCTGCTAATAAGGAAATCAATAAATAATAAATAAAACCTTATGTCTAAGCTTGTTTTTATTTTGAGCTAAGGACTCTACAAGATTACATTTTCATTTAAGTTTAATAGAACTCTCCTAAGCTATTTCTCAATATGTTTTATTGTTTGACTTCTGTTCAGTTAAAAACAGAGTAAATGATAGTTATTTAGGGGACATATGCCTATGTATATGTCTCAAAGAGTTTCCAATGTTATTGATTACTTACTATTTAGTGCCAATGACAACAGTTCAATTCATAAACATTCGTTTTGTTTTTCTTGTTTTTCTAACTATTTCAAGACAAATAAGTCAGTCATTTTGACTATTATAATTAAAGTTTCACAGGATTAAATAAATAGATATTCAGCATAGGACACAATTTCTTTTGCATTTCATTCTACTTAAAAAGCTTTGAGACCTAAGAGCATTTTTTCCCTCTGATTTAATCATTTATGAGATTCACTAATGGTTGTTAGATATTTTAAATACCACTAATTTTATTGTAATTCTATCTAGCTGTCTATGTGTTCGTTCAACTATGTTAGCAGTATTTTTTCTAAAATTCTGGAACCAAAGATTAGGACGAAATTAAATATTCCACAATCTAATATCACAGAATTACTGATAACAGATTTTGACCCTGTCTCTATAGATTCAGAGAAAATTAGTCAGTCTTTTCATAGCCCCACCCAACTGATCATCCACAGTGAATATAAGATAACTGAGAAGGCAGAGAACATCTTCCTTTTTAGTGGGAAGCAATATAATAGAAGTAAGTTTTTGCCAATAGAAAGAACGTCAAGAAACGACTAAATGAGGAGCAAGAAATAATAATAGTAATAGTAATAATAATAATGATTGATTAATGACTTACTCAATAGTCTCAATTCTCTCAAATCAAGGTGAAAGAGATGATGTGATAGGGACAATAAAAAGAAGGGTCAAAACAGCACTTTGTCATAGATGAATTCCACAGAAGCCTGTCAAACTGAATCCTGCTGTTGAAGGGTTTAGGATCTCATGTCATCTGGTGACCAATGCAGCTTAGAAGGATAGGATAGAAATGGACTGAACGATGGTCCATTTGAACATGTGTGTAAAACATTCAAGGACTACAAATGTCTACAGACATTGTCCAGGAATGTGGTTTTCACCTGTGGGGTAAGTTTGTGGTAGCACTCCTCCTTCTCCACTATTATGACACTCATACATAATATAACTTGGGTTAACCAAGAAGAAGAATGGCTCTTCACTTAGTTTGCCCCTTACTGTTACTTCTTCACTCCTTAAGCATCTGAAAGAGGAAAATTAGGAGGAGACGGAGTCTAAAACAAGGATATATCTATATTCCAGGCCACTAAAGCTACAGACGTTACAAAAGATCTGTGGGAATCTATGGCTAACACTTTAAATGAATAGGATTGGTGAGAAATTAGAAACAAAATCATGTGGGCTTTGGTCAAAAGCAGCTAAAGTCAAAACAATATAGAATGAGCTTAAGTAACCTGTGATAGAGAGGTTGAACTAAGTCAAAATTTGAGCATCCTGGATATTTCTTTGAGGAAGACTTTATTCTGCATCTAATCTCAAACTGAGACACTTTCATAAGGCTATTTGATTAGTGAAAATTGAATGCTCTAAAATAAATGATTATTAACTAAAAATAAATATTACTAAAATGGTACAATTAACTTACTAACCAGTTACTTTGTAGTTAAGTGTACTTTATGATGTTAATTCTCAACTTTCTGATTTACTTTTTAAATGATTGTTTTATATATAAGGACAATGAAATTCCAAGTTTGCCAAAGTTCCTTAAACTCATAGACATCAATTACAAAACTGAAACTGAAATTTTCTGTCTAAGCTCATGCCTTCATTCAAGGAACAATATTATCACACATATATAAAACCACACACACACACAAATACATACATTTATGTATATATAGTCCATGTGAGGTATGTTTCATATAGACATGCATTAAAAATGCCAGAAATGAAAATAACATATACTGAATAAGTATGTACATGTAAATATATTATACATGTAAGCAATTGTATACCTTTACATACATACATACGTATATATGCATATACATACATATACACATACATACATATATAGTTCTTTAATATAATGCATGGTTTCTCATTTCTGGGTGGCATTTAGTGTGCCTGTGTGTGGCACTAGAAGAAATATGAAAAATGTGCCAAAGCTGAAGTTATTTAAGAGATTAAAACAGATAATTGGTTCAATGTGGTGTGTTATACACAAGGAGGAAAACCATTGTTTAATTTGGAATGCAATAAAATACCATACTTAAAAGTTAATTTGCAGTCTTTGTCAGCATGCCTATCCACAATTACACAAAAACTTCTATTTTTTAAAGACATGTGAGACTCCTTAGCACAAAAGGGATTATTTTGTCCATCAATAAAGTAAAGCAGAATGGCCAAGTTTGCTCTGAAAGGAGGCCAGCATTGTTATGTTTGGAGAATTCACATTCTGGAGGGCAAAAATACCTTTGTGTTAAACAAGGGCTGGCTTTTCAGTACTACCACCCCATACAAATTCTGAGAAGAGACAGAAATTATTCAAACCATCTGTAAGTAAGGGCAGCCCAGAGAATGTGTGATAAACATGCACAGTTTGAAATATGTAATATATTCTATTTGAAAACAAAAAGCTATTTCAGGATGCTGCACTCAAGTGGGGCTTGTCGCAAATGAACCTCAGCCCTCTAGATTCCTCCCCCTGAGGGGTTTCAGCATCTCCTGAAATAATGTACAGCATAAGATGGTGACTCACAGCACTCTTGGCTCCTGAGAAAATGATGCCTTCATAAACATGTTCAAGGGAAAAGGAGACATTCCACTAATTTATGAGACCGAGTGTTTATGTAGTTCGCCATACAGCACTTACCACACAAAAGACAAAAAGAGAAAAAAAACACATATATTTAAGAGTTTTTTCTAACACTAGTGTAGTTGCAATTCTTCATATAATTAACTATTATTTACTTTGAACATATTACAATATATTTAATTTTACTTTGCTTTCTCACTTTCATTTCTTTCCAAGGATATCATATTGAACTCATCTATACAACAAAATATGCGATTAAGTTTCTTATTCTACATGTAAAAATAAATTTTTACAGTTCAAGATATTTATACTAAGTATCAACAAATGCAAACAGTAGAAGACACTTTTTTAAAACAGTAGGCAGAAGTTAAATTATATTAATCTCATTATAACTGTCTATAAAAAGAGAAGGAAGATTCCTATTATCTGCTTAAAACTATCTGCTTAGATAAAAAAGAAAATATCCAAAGAATTATATAATTTCACTATGTATAGTAGTGTAAATCATTAAAGAGTATCTAATCAATATTATGTGCTATAATAACTTAACTTCAGTATATATATATATATATATATACACATATTTATGTCATTGGATTTATATATGTTCCTAATCAAGAAGCACAAAATGATAAATAAATTTATTCTTTAAATGCTTACTTTAAATGCTTACAGTACACATAGTACAATAAAGATTCTCCTATGTTTTCACACAAACAGCTATAAAAACACCAGCTATAAGAGTTTGTGGGATATTTACCACTCTAAACCATGTCAAGATTCAATTTGAAGGTGTATGAATTGAATAAAATAATTGCATATCTGGGTATGGAAGAATATATTTTGCAAAATGTCCATAACAATAACTCCCATTCCCAATGATTTTCTAAAATGAATACTATCATTCTCCCATTGAGAGAGTGAGTTTCCTTCTATACTTGGATCTATATTGACCTACCACTGGGGCCCAGTTGTGAATATGCTTCACAAATAGATTGAAAAATTTCTGTCTCTCCTTTCTTCAACCCAGCTGCCATGTGAGAAATGGCACTAACCTATATTATATTCTGAAAAGCTCAGGCTGTGTGGTAAGACCCTGGAGGATAAAATACCTGTAGAGACAGAGAGAGGCCAAGGAGTATAAAAACATGAGAATATGAGTGAAAATTTAACTTGGAAGAAAATCAACACTGCTAAAACCACATAGAATAGAGATGAACTGTTCAGCTGAGACTTCAGAATCTCTGCCTCATGGGATTATCAATAGAATACAACAGTTGTTTTAGACCACTGAGTTTTAAAATAGTTGGTGAGATAGTAACAAAGCAGGAACTTGGACCTTATGAACTCAGTTGAATAAAATATGTATGTCATAACAATGCAGTTCTGAGTAGAGTGTGATGGGAACACAGAGTGTCTTCTTAGCCAATAGCTGTGATATCAGAGGAATAGGGTCTTCCATTTATTATGAATCTAAAGGATGTTGGCTCAAAAATGAGAGGGAAATAATGGCGCTTCTGGATGATATGAGAGCGTATGCAAAGACCTTGAGGTGAACAAGAACTGTGCTCATTCCAAGAAGTCTAAGTAACCAAGTGTGAAGACAACACAGACAGCAGGGGGAAGGAGTGGGAAGGGGATGAAAGGCACAGAGGGTCAGACCATATAGGGTCCTGAATGCTACATTAAGAATCTTCTCATTCTTCTAAGAGAAATGGGATATCATTGAGAGATTTTAAGCAATGGAGGGACTCATTCATTATTGCATTTTAGGAAAATGCCTATGCACAATTGCTCTATAGTAGCTTAGACTGGAGTAGGGGACAGAGATAAAGGCAGTAAGACCACTTAGTGGGGCATTACTATAATGAGGGCAAGAGAAAATGGCTGTCAGAACAAGGGAAAGTGCATTTATGGATGGAGATAACGTGTATCATTCAGAGTGGTATTTAGGCAATAAAAACCTTCAGGAACATGTATTTGGATATGTAGGACTGTAGCTCTGAAAAGAAACAATTCTTT